CCGGAGATGATGAATGGTAAGTTAGTTACCTCCTGGGTGATAGTTGTAATGTTTCTTCCCGTGACTCCAGCCACCGGAATGGGGTAAGGAAGGCTTCTGGTAGGTATTTGAAGCTCATCTACCAAATCTTGAGAAATAAGGTTCCTCTCAGCTCCCGAGTCAATGAGGGACTCAATGGAGTAGTGTCTCTGTTGAAGCATAATTCTGGCAGGAAGACAAAAACGTGAATCAGGGGCACAACGAGCTTCACTCACCAGGATCCCCTGAATGGCTGGTGAGTGCTGGAGTTTAACTTGTTTGGGCAAGATCGCACAAAATGTCCTCTCTTTCCACAGTAGAAACATTCACGTGCTGTCAATCGTCGTTGCCTCTCTTGCAACGTGAGTCGGGTTCGTCCGATCTGCATTGGCTCAGGCTCGGAATCATAGTGAGTGGTATCTGGTTGAAACGGGGGTCCTCTGATAGCAGGAAATGCTGGAGGAAAAGTTGACCCGGAAGCCATCGGTTCCGCTTGGCCCCGCCTTTCCCGAAGGCGATTATCGATCCTGATCGCCAATCTGATGAGGTCATCCAATGTCTCCGGCTCATCTCTAAGTGCCAGTTGATTCTTTATTTGATCAGAAAGTGAATTAGAAAATACCCCCTTAAGTGCCACCTCATCCCACCTGGTTTTCTCCGCCGCAACCCGGAAGAGGATGGCGTATTCAGACACGGTAGTTTGATCCTGTCTCATAGCCAACAGACGGCGGGACGTCTCCTCCTGGTGGACAGGGACATGAAACACACTCCTGAACTCCTTAACAAAGTCATTAAATGATAGTGAAACCACAGGGTGAGACTGAAGGTAGGCATGAGCCCATTCAAGAGGTAAACCTCTCAACGAAGTAACGATATAGGTGTTTCTGGATGCAGAGTTTGGGAACAGGGAAGGAGAACGGGCAAATGCTAGTTCACATTGGAGGAGGAAACCATTGAATTGTTCTGGGTTACCTTCAAAAACTGCGGCCGGCCGAATCTCCGGCTCACGGGGTTGTTCCGAGCGGGCGGTGCTTAGCGCTGGCGGCGCTAATGGTGGTGAGACGGCCGGCGTGGGTGGAGTTAGTGTTCCCATTCTATTGCCGATGGACTGAATCATTCCACCCACCGTTTCCAGATTCGACTGTGTAGTCTTGTGTTGGGTAATTAGTTCCTGTAAGAGAGCTTAATTTCTCCTTACTCTCTCCTCAAGGGTGACTTGATCAGCATTCAAACCGTTCTTTGACATATTGTGGCCAGAGCAAACTGTTAGGGTCTGTAGGTGATGTCAAAGGCGAACGGTTTGAAGCAAGGACTAAACAACTTGAGGTAAAAAAACAATATTATTTATTGGTTCAGGTGTATCTGGTAAACTCAAACTCAGGATGGATCCACTGTGGGAATAGAGAGGAGATTGGTGGTGAACGACAAATCGTCTTGAGGAGATTTTGGAAATGTTGATAGTAATCCAAAAATAAGCTTACTTGTCGTTGATGTTCCAGGAGCATGAGAACAGGAGACAGGATCCGAATCCAACAATCCACGGTGGGATCAGGTGAGTATATTTACAAGTGTATTTACAAAAATCACCAAGGGAGCCGGGGTGGAGGTGAGGAGGAACCAGGAACCAGGTGAGGCACACAGGAGTGAAGGTGGAGGAGGAGAAACGCTGCTGTCACGCAGGGAGACAGATAAGGAGCTTGAATCAGCCAGCCAGTAGTCACAGGAACATGGAGCTTGGTAGAACTTTGCTCTGGCACTGATCTGGAGTTAGGCTCCAGATTAAATAGCTCCTCCACATGGTCCAGGTAATGAGCAGCAGCTGTGGAGAGATAATTAGGAAAACACAAACAACAGAGAAAGGAGGGGTAGAGGAGCCAACCTCTACACACAGCGGCTCAGCTCATACATCCTCGAAGAAGGGGTTTTGTCTGAATTAATATTGCAGCTCGTGGAATCACTCAAAAGCTCACGTGACTCGCAGCAAACAATGAACGTGTTTCTGCAGACCGAGCCAGTGGTAACCCCGCTCCACCGATGGCGCGCGGTGCCTCCTTACCGCACCAGTGCCAACCCGCGCCCCCGCGGCAATCCTGGCTTAAAGCGTCGCATAAGGACGCACACACACGACCCTGCAGGGCGCGTCGGCTCATATGTGCACCCGCTTCCCGAGCGTTACACGGAGCAGCGGCACACAACGTGAACACAACACATGAATTGTTTTCCCACAGCAACACAATGTCTTGCATCCTCGGGGACGCGCATGGGTTTTTTCTCTCTCACTCAGTGCGCTCCAGTTCACATCAGCATGTATGTGTTTCACAGCATAAATGCGTGCCCGCTTTATAGCTTATAAACGGGTGGCAATGAATGCGCGCCTCCAGACGGATGGGTGAACCGTTTTCATCCGGGATTCACGCTGCAGTTCAGCTCAAACCCCGGTGTGGAGGAACTCTGTGACGTTTTTTCTGTCATTTATGAACAGATCTCGTCCCCTTTAGTAGAAGCTCAGGAAATTCTTTTTTGAAATGTAATTTCTAGAATCTCAGATGGAGAGGAAACGCAAGGTCTCTCTCATCACTTCCTAGTCCCAATGAACCGGAAAGATGAGATTTATTCTAGACTGTCAATTTCTGAGCTGTGAGAAACAACACTCTATTATGCGCCCGAGCCGCTTTAATTCTGCGTTATCTGGACACCTGCGGGTGCTGAGCAGCTTGTACAGACAGGGGGCAGCAGTGCAACTCACGTGAACTGGTTGAGTGATATCAGCTGTTTTCCGTCAGCAGACCTACGTCACACACATTTAATAAGCTGTGGAGCCGCTGTGGCTCTCCACACAGCAGCCTTTTAAATGTTTTTGGAGTGTCGCACGGGATCTTTGAATGTGACTCAACACTGACCTTGAGCTGCAGAATCTTCAGAGTTTTTGATTCTCAGACAGCAAGTGACTGTTGCATACATACGAGCAGGAAATATATGCATTTTTCAACCCATGTGCCACATTGTGAGACAGATGCTGTGTGGGACACATCCAATCTGTTCTCCATTGGAGTGGGTACATCTCATGTATTCCACCCAGAACTAGGACTCAGACACGGTAGAATCCTGCCAGCGTCTGCGGACGTGTACCAACACGAGAGAACGCTAAATGTCAATTATAATTATCGTGGAGCCATAGGACGATCCACCGCTGGTTGGACGTGCCTGCTCACAGCCTGTGGTCGTAATGCCTTTCACCTTCTTCTCTCCCTCTGGTATCACGGTTTTCTGAACCAAGCTCAGGAGGAGGGATTGGCAGCTCCTTTGCCCCAAGTGCGTGAACGCATCATGGTTCCCAGGCCTACGACATTTGTTATCAGGGTGCTCGTGGAACCTGCCGTGGAGGGGGGACGCTTCCCTCCAGGCGGGAGGAACGATCAGGAATTAATCAGAATAGGCCAGCACCTGTGGTTTGGCCGCTGTGCAGATCTTTGAGAGGATGGATCGCTCTCAAGGTGTAGTGCGTACGATTCAGGAGTCACGTGCTGCATCCACCATAGCGCTGTTCACATCAAGTAGTCAGTTTTCCAACGCTGCTGTACAGAAAGGCGTAGAGGCCACTTCATGTCCACTGGATGACATGCTGTCTTTCGGCAGCAGCCGAGGGACAGAAATCTGGTGTCCAGCACAACTATTGTATGCTGCAACCGTGTTTTTCTTTTGTCTCAAAGTTGTCGTAGACAGAACAACCTTTAATCATCCTCTGACGGAGCATTTTGTCTCAGATTGATATAGCGGCTGTGGGCCTGTTGTGACACGGGAAACGCTCAGTGTCAATTATGCGCTTCTCTGAGCCCATGAGACGAACCACCGCCGGGGGGTGGATGCGTTTGTCCACAGTCCATGGCCCAAAATGCTTCTGTACGCGTTTTTCTCCACCTCCTCTGATCTTACGGTTCTTGAACCGAGCTCA